CGCGCTGCTCGCCCCGCTGCTCGCCGCCGTCCCGCCCGCGCTCGCAGGTAGGGCCTGCGCCGCCCGCGCCGGGCCGCGGCCTTTCCCGCGGGCACGGTGCGGTCAGGAGCCGCGGGCAGGCGCGGTCAAACGCCCCGTGCGCTTGGTGCTCGGCTCCCCGAGCCGCGGGACCGGCTTTGCTCCGGCACCGGGGTGTGCGGAGCGCTCGCAGCTTCCACACAAGGACGGGCATCACTGCGAGCGTGTTCAGTGGGTGCTGCTGGCTTGAAGGTTCACGTAGTGTGCCCATAAAATAGTGTAAATCCTACAAAGAATGCGTTAACCCACAAAAGACACTTGTGAATAAAGGTTAGGTTGGCCTTAAAGGRCTTGCAGGCAAACCTGCAACCCTGCTTTCCACCTCCCTTCTTCCCGTGCCCCCAGTGCACTATCCATGTCATCTTTTGCCAGCGTGGAGGGTGGGAAAGTACCAATACGGAACTGGTATTTTTTCCGTTATTTTCATATGTCTTCTTTTTTTTTTTTTTTTAATATCTGTTATTATTAGCTTATTTCAGGAGTTTTAATGTAAGTTAGTCACTTTTAAAGAACTAGTAACTGTATATGTTACAGCCCAACATTTATTTCTGTAAAACATTTTATGGATATTCTGAATTTAAGATTCTCCTACAGCCACAGCTATGGTTTTGGTCATACAGCTCCAGGTGGAAGAAGGGAATACAGCTGGATAGGGAAATGTACGTGCCGATCACAACGTTTTTGAATAGGTGTTTGAAATCTGCAAAGAACTTCGGCTCTGTTGTTCTGATAAACGGTTCAGCTAAGCACCTCAGTACAAAAAAGTAAAATAAAGCGAGAAGGTAAAGCTCCAGTGTGGGAGCAGGCACAGTATTTGTGGACCGTGTTGTGGAATGCCCTTGGAAACACCTGGAGAAGTGGGTGCAGACCTGAATCAATAGGGGACTGCTGGTTCTGTCTGTGGACCATCGTTAAGYGCGCGTCTCTACTTCAGACTGTGAACATGGGTGATAATTGCAAGTGTCTTGTTCAGTCCCTCCCTCTGACCTTTTCCTGGCAAATCATTCTACGATTCTTATGTTAGGTCTGTGGGATTAGGGTTTCCTTTTTTTTGCTGAAGTTCTGATACTTTCCAATCTGGCTCCACTTGTACTTTGCAGTCAGAATAACCAACGCGTCTAGAAGTTATTAATACCACAACAACTTATTTATATTTGGTATTAATAGATTCTAGACGCTTGCTTCCATCACTTAAATCCTGTCCTAAATGAGAATCTTACTACTGCACTTGATCCTGGAGCTTCCTACYGCGTATGAGAGCAAAGCTGGGACCTGCATGTTGTACAGCTGGCAATTCGGTCTCCAGCTTAAGATAGCTGATATGCAACACCTATATTGTTTTAATTTTGCAGTTCAGTACAAATGAAAGCTTTATGCTCTCCACTGTCCTGCTCACTAGGTCCTTTGCACTTCTTCGCCCCTGGTTATTTCATCTTAGTTGCAGCAGAAGCTCTTTGGGACTAAAGCCATCGCTTGCTGTTTGCATAGCTTCTCGTGAGTGACAGCACTTAATGGTGTTTCATGCAGTACTTCAATCTATCCTGAAAGTATTGCTGTTGTGTGGAACCCACCTTCGTTTTGCAATTCCACAGCCCCTCTGCCTCTTGTTGAAGCACCSTGAAGGGACTTGGTAAGGCAGAATAAATGTGTTGGGACCAAAACACAAAGAGCGGCTCTGGGTTTTGGGAGCGGAGCAGCACAGCAGGGGACGAGGCTGCTCCACTCCGGTTTCCTGAAGGCTCAAGTTCTACCATCAGTCATTAGTTTTGATGCAGAAATTACCCACTGAAATTTATGGGCTCTATTGCAGTAGTTACAATGCAAATATGTCAGGTAGCTATACYAACATAAATGAGAAATGGAGAAATCCTTTGATTAAGCTAAATGAGCTCAGAAACTAACATGATTTTCAGGATGTCTTTTGTRTTATCTCTGTGCCTGAGCTGCTGATGTGGATGTTGGAGTCTCTTTCTTGCCTATTTTATTAGATCCAAAGCACCACAGGGTAGGGACACAATCACTTACAGTCTAACTGTATGAGATTGAGTGACAATGCTGGCTACTGTCCTGATATAAATTTGCCTTAACATAAAAATAGCAAAATGTAGCCTATTTTCTTGCTCATCAGTGAAATACACTCATTATATATATATATAATATATAATTTTTCATATATTATATATGTAAATATATAATATATATGATTTATATATAAAGTAAATTATATATATGAAATTATATATATAAATATATATATAAAATATATATTTCTCTAGTTCTTTTATTCAGTACTTTAAAATGAAGGTTTCATTCTGTTTATTACCTGAGCAGTAAAAAATGTGCCCAAATAAGCAACCTGTCAAGCAGATTGTATTTGTTCTCATGCTGTGTAGTAACAAATAATAAAGCTGTTGTATGTATTTTTATATTTATTTAGATAAACATAAGAAAAAGAGATTTGGGTGTTTGTATGTGACTAACTTACGTGCTTGCTTTCCCTTCTGTCCTTTTAGTATCCTTTTATGGGGACAGTTTTGTGGAGATGAAGGTGACAGACGCATCCTCTCGAACATCCCTGCAGTTGCGCTTCCGAACAAGCAAGCCGCATGGACTGCTCTTCCTGGCAGCTGGGAAGAGGGATTATTGTTTGTTGGAGCTTTGCTCGGGAAATGTACAGGTGGGATTCACAGCTAAAACGAAAAAAAAGGCTTGTGTGGCCTGCACTGTTTAGTGTTTTTATTTAAGCTGTGATCTGTATTAATTGTCAGTTTGTTTAGAAAAAAATGGAAAATTCAAATAATCTAATTAGTTTCAGTACTTGGTATGTATTTCTTGTAATGATAATAATTAAAGTTGGTCTCTAGAAGCCTATTAGACCTCAAGAGAGTCTTAAGATCAAGATCATTCCATTTAAAGCATTAAGTTCATGCTTTGTAAAGGACTAAGTTTCATATTCAATGATGTTAGCATTTCAGAAACTGTTTTGATCCAAGTAATTGCTTTGAAGGTAAGTTTTTTCTTAGAACATGATTGTCACCTGGATTCTTAGAAATTATTGATCCTAGCAGAGCTAGAGAGACTTCTGCATCTAACCAAGTCAAAATTGGGATAGCAACTGRACCTTGCAAACAAACTTCTAATGTAATTTTGTTTTTAAAAAAGGTGTTTTGTAAGTTATATGATTAATAGAAAAATTTCTGAAAATTAATAGACTATGTCTGATTGTCAAAAATACAGCTTTGGAATTTCATAGTTAAAATTCTGTCTTTTGCAGTTGAGGATTAACTTTGGAGTTGGGGAAGAAGTACTGCATTCTCAGCAAAGTTCTCAGCTGAATGATTTAGCTTGGCACCTGGTTGAACTACACCATGAACTTGATAATGTCACACTGGTGATTGATAAACATGACAGAACTAGTGCAAAAATGCCTGGMATTCTGCATGAACTAAATATTGATTATGGATTCTTCATTGGTGGTGCTAGTAAACTGGATGTTCCCTATCTTGATGGAGCACTGCCTAGGTTCCGAGGATGTATTGATGGTGTGACATTTAATCAGCTGCATATTCTGACGTCCCTTAGGCCTTCCCCTGGCTTTAAAAATGTCCACGAGGTTTCAGTGGGATGCAGTGATGAGTTCTTTGCAGGTGAGGATGAGCCCATTAGCTTCTTCAGTTCCAGATCGTATGTTTCTTTCCCCTTGTGGAACATTGATGATGAGGGAATCTTGGATTTTACACTACAGACTTCAGCTCCACGTGGCCTGCTGCTTTATCATTCAGGACAAAGAGGAGATTTCATTGCAATGGAAATGGAAGATGGATTAATTAAGGCCTATATTGGAAATCATAAGAGTAGGACACAGCTTTCGTCTCGTAAGTCAGTCAATGACAGTCACTGGCACTACATTGAGCTGAAATTTACTGCAGAATATGCACAGCTGATGTTGGATGAAGAAACTGTGAAAACATCGTTGCCTCCCCATGGCGATCTGCCACTTCTGAAGGGGCCACTCTTTGTCGGTGGGGTGGATGACMGCACCCGATCAGAAGTGATTAAGTTAGAGCTAGCCTCAGTGTCTGGGAAGTATGCCAGAGGAGGGTCCTTCAAAGGTTGCTTAAGAGACCTGAAAGCCAATTCAGAAAGGAAATCACTGAAGAATGTTCTGGTTACAAAGGATATTTCAGCTRGATGTGAAATGAAAAACACTTTCAATACAAACCTTTCTTTAAAGACAGCTGTAAGGAATCCTAATGTGAAAGCAGCTCCAACATTTGTCATCTCTCCTGAAAGTTCCCTTTCCCTGGTCAAGGAAAACAAAAGCCACCTTTTAGTTCTAAATAACTTGACTGTGCTAGAGGGTGGGCAAGCTTCACTTGAATCTAAACATATTAAAGCCAGCTTAGACTTTCAGAATTCAGGGATTCATCAATCACAAATCCTTTTTGAAATAAAGGAACCACCCAGTCATGGCCACTTGAAATTAGATGCTGAACCAGTGCAGAAGGTGAAGTCATTTACCATGCAGGACCTGTGGCAAGGAAGGATTCTTTATGTCCATGATGGCTCTGAGAATCCTTATGATCATTTCACTTTCTCCATTTCTACCAGCAACGAAGAGGTTGTGCTTCCATATTTGCAAGGTAATGAGCAGCACTTGTTTAACATTACTGTCACTCCAGTAAATGATGCTCCTGAGATCACACTTCCTGAGGGGAATTTACTAGTTCTGTTGGAGAACTCAAAGAAACGTTTGACTGGTGATATAATAAAAGTTCTGGATGAGGATACGGATTCTGAAAGTCTCAGTCTTTCAGTGCTCGGAAATCTGAATGCAGGTGCAGGGTTTTTGGAACATTCGGAACATCCTGGAAACGCTATTACTGCTTTTTCTAACAAGGACTTAAGAAAAGGTGACATTTTCTATGTCCACACAGGTGTCAAAAACTCAAGGATTGTTCTGAGGGCGAGCGATGGCGAGAAAGTGAGCAATACTGTTGTGTTACGTGTCATGGCCATTCCCTTGGATTACAAAATTGTCAACAACTCGGGAATCGAACTACTGCAAGGTGCTGCAGCTCTGATCACACCGAGGCATTTGGCAGTTGAAACAAATGCTGTCCTGCAGGAGCTGGAGATAAGGTACGAGATCACGGAACCGCCCCGCTTTGGGGAGGTCCAGCGGCAGCTCTCAAGAGGGAAATGGAAGCAGGTCAGCTCTTTTTCTCAGCRCTCTGTTCAGCGCAGCCGTGTGAGATACTGCAGCACTTCTAGAGAAACTCAACTGGAAAATGTTACTGAACAATTTAAATTCAAGGTGAGCATAGGAAGCAGGATCAGTGAAGAGTACGTGTTTCCAATCAAAGTGAGATGGTTAAAGTACTATTTATTGAAACACACTCCTCTAGAAATTGAGAAATCAAGAAAGAAATACTTGAATTCAGATAATCTTTATGCTGCAGTTGTGGATCTAGACATAGCTGAAGATGAACTTCATTTTAAATTGCTTTCYCTACCAGAGAAAGGACAAATACTTCTTAGTGATGAACCATTGAAAAAAGATTCTGCCTTTAGCCAGAAAGACATTGCTGATCAAAAAGTGGCATACGAATTAATGGGCAGTCATCCTGAAGACACCCAGGATTCATTTAGATTCCTCATTTCTACTAAATATCTGGAATCAAATTTTTATGAATTCATCATCAACATTAAATCAGATCTTGGAAGTGTTACTGTGACTAATAATGGCTTGACTGTTACTGAAGGTGAAGGAGAATTCATAACAAGCRCAAAATTGTTTGTGCAAACACTGGATAATAAAACTTTCCAATATAAAGTTTTAAAATTTCCTCAGCATGGGAAATTAAAACTCATGAATTTGTCAAGTTCGTTTGAGAGTAGTGATAACATCACCACTTTCACTAACCAAGATATAATTGATAAGCGCCTTATGTATGTGCACGATGACTCTGAGACAGTGTTTGATGAATTTCTTGTGAGAGCTTCCAGTGAAGAATCAGGAAAACGGATAAACTCTGATGCAGGAGTAGGGACTTCGTCGGTAGAAATTAGCTTCAATATTTCTGTCCAGCTGAAGAATGATGAGAAACCAGTACGTGTAGTAGATAAGGTGTTCGACATAGTGAAAAATGGGCAGCGATTGTTAACTCTGGCAGATCTTTGCCATCATGATCCCGATTCTGACTTTGATGATGGACGGTTGCTGTATACTAGACGTGGCATTTCCAATGGAGATTTGGTGCTCGCCAATGATACATTTCACAGACTCTATCAATTCACACAAGAGGCCCTGGAACAGAAGCAGGTCCTGTTTATGCACCGTGGCGCAGACGTGGGGCGCTTTGTCCTCTTTGTGACSGATGGCAAGCACTACACATCTTCGCTGCTAGAGGTTAGTGCCACGGAGCCCTACGTTAGGCTGGCAAATAATACAGGCTTGCTGGTTCAAAAAGGAAGAGAGGAAACTATTGCAACAGCCAACCTCAGTGCTGTTACAAACCAAGACATTAGAAGTGACCACRAGATTAAATATGAGATCCTCTCTTTCCCAAAATATGGACAAATATATGTAAATAACCAGTTGATGGATTCTTTTACTCAGCTTGATCTGAGAGAGGGGCATGTGGTCTACAGGCACGACGGCAGCAACAACCTTACTGACACATTTAACTTCACAGTCCATGCTAAGGATGTCCGTGTGGATGCTGGAGTGCATGTTCGTGTGTATTTGGAAAGTCATCAGTGGCCACCGAGGATTGTGAACAATAACAATCTCTTAGTTGAAGAAGGAAAACAAGTTAAGATCAGTAAGGGAAAACTGCAGGTAAGTTAATCATGTTGTTTGTTTCCCTGAGACCTTGTAGCTTGCTCTGCCTGCCCTATGCTTGCTCAGTCATAGCAGAGTCTTTAATCGCTCAGTTCCACAGAACTGTCTTTTCTTGGCTGACTCTCCCTGCTCCCCCAACTAGTTTGTCCATGTGTTAGATGCTGAGTTCTAGAGAGAGACTGACACTAGCAAACTTTGAGTGCTAGGAAGGAAAAACAGTGGTGTTAAGGAAAGGGAGACTGACCAAAGGCTTGGACTGGTTCTTGAACGAGTTAAGATTTGGAGAGGTTGCACCCATATATTTTGGTCACGACAATTGTACTTATTTATGTTCGTGTTTCATTGTTAGTTGAACTGGTGGAGAATGGTAAGGGTTACATTTCCTCCAGTTTGGAGTGAGCCCAATTAACACTATTTGAGGACTGGATTAAAAATTTTTAACACATSCAACCATGATAACCATCAAAACTCACAAACAGTAGGTTTTAATCTCCTGGATTAACCCTTTCCTATATTTTTCGTGTTAAGATTTACAATAACCACCATGAAGGGGCTTGTGCAGCCCATTGCAGACTAGGAACAGTTTGCTTTAGGAGCCCATCTGCAGATCTTAGGGAATCCTTAATGCCACAGTGTGTTGCTTTTCAGAACAYGTAAAACATGTTTGCAGTTATAAAACGCTCCCATGCCATGTTATTTAACACATCTACTCAAAGAGCTGTATTATATCAGGAATTGCAGATGTTCTGTGTGACTCAAATGAGGAATGCCACTTAAATACGTAGGCMATCCCAGGGTTAAAAGTGGAAAAAAACCCCAAAACAGTAGAACATTAAAGACTTTCTCCTGCTTTTGTTTAAACAATTTTGTGGTATTCTTTTAATTTTAAGGTTGCTCACGAAAATAGTTCTCCATCTGAGATTGTGTTCACAGTACGAGTACTTCCAGAACATGGGTACATTCGGAAGTTTTCATCAGAAGAAAACGCTGCTGGTTCTGACCAAAAGCCAGTTTTGACGTTCACACAACAAGATGTTGATGAGGGCAACGTTCAGTACGTGCAGACAGTTTCTGGCCAACTAAATGATCATTTTTCTCTGGATGTGACCAATGGTGTCCGAGTAGTGCGTGGAATTGGAATCTCTGTAGACATCATCCCCGGGGTGATTCCACTGGAAGTGCAGAACTTCACAGTACTGGAAGGGGGCTCGAAAGCCCTCGTGGAAGATTTTCTAAAAATTACTAGTAGGCACTTTGCAAAACTCAGCTGTGAATATGTTTTAGTTGAGCAGCCAAAGCATGGATATGTTGAAAACACTCGCATTCCTGGAGTAAAGTTAACCAAATTTACCAGAAAACAGGTAAGGTGTCCACTTCACTGCAGTCATGAGTACTTCTTTTGTTTATATTGTTAAGTGGTAGTTTTTATCTGCATTGTGAGGAGATAATGGGAGGTGGTAAAATGCATGAGTTTGAGCTTTGCTTTGTACCGAAGATCTTGCAGCATTTCCTCTCTGAGAGAGAGACTGTATGTGGCTAATAAGCTAATTTTCAATCCAGGAAACAAAACAAAACTCACCATCCACTAATGCTCATCATTTTCAGTTTAGTTTTTTTCCAAAAAATAYTGTGGTAAATACAGTGGGATTGAAGTTTTCATTTTCCTTTTAGGTGGAGGGGGGAATGCATAGATTTGCAACAAGAAAGCAATTTAAGATGGAAGGATTGAACAGATGAGCTGTAGAATTTGCTGTTGTGGAGAGAGAATAGAGGAACAGATATGAGTGTAAATAAATTCATAAAGGTCATAAAAACTAAAAAAAAAAACCTAAAAGGTTGAGTCAAGAAATATCCTAGATATGAATGCATTTATTTATTTTAGTGTCAGCTAGTCAGCTATTATATTCAGGTCATTCTGTTTTTCAGGTTGAAGAAGAATTGATCTACTATGTTCATGATGACAGTGAGGAACTGACAGACAATTTTACTGTGATAGTAAATAATACCGAACTTTGGAAACAAAGTTTGCCCAAGACTTTATTTGTAACTGTTATTGCAGTAAATGATGAAGCTCCTGTTATAAAAGTTAACAAAATTCTTCAGGTATGTTCATTGTCATCTTAAAATGCTGATTTTCTACCTGATATCATTTAATTTCCTTCATTAATGAGTATTGCGTGTGTATGTGGTGGGATGCTCAATATAGTGAAAGGGTTCCTAATATTTAAATAAATTATTTAATGAAAGGAAAGAAGTAGTACAAAGGTACTTTGTATACAGGCATATTCTAGCCATTATAAAGATTTTTTTCTGCTGTTGTAATGTAAAGCAGGCTGTAAGTTTATGTAGAGAGCTGACTGAGTTTTCTTTTAATCTTAAAGATACGTGTGAAGTCTTTTAGATTCACATTGGGCTTGTGGCAGTGATATAGAAGCTATTATTCTAACTTCCATTAAATTTCCTCTCTCCTCCAAGTTCCTAAAGACATTTTAAAGACTGATCAAATGAAATTTAATCCACTTTTACTGCCTTTTTTTTGCTTAATATCCACAGCAAGTTTTTATTGTAGTTACAGTACTTACRGTACTGTAAAAAGTCAGGCTTGGTTTCTTCTCAGATCTCTTCCTGTAGCATTACTCCTGACGCTTTTTCTTATTTCCTGCGATATTTCAAATTTCCTTTTTTTCTGGATGATTATTTGTGTTCTAGTAGCACACAGTAACCAGAACAAATTTATTCTGGGCACTGTACCCCTGTAAAACAAAAGGTCCCCACCTGCAAAGCCCCTCACTCTGAGATGTGACACCAACTGTGTGACTGTGAAAAGCAGAATGAAGTGGTGCAGRTCAGCCGATAAACCTGTGGTTGCAGTAAACTAGCTGTGAGGCATCTGGACAGAGAAGACTTTTAGGAATTAGATATTCAAAAGAAGGTGATCAGGATACCAAGAAGCTGCAGCATCCCTAGTGCTGCATGATGCAGTTTACAAAATTGTGGCACATCAGACATGTATTGCTGTAGTGATGATCGTAACCTTGTATTGTATAAATAGGCTTTTCACATGAGAAAAAGCAGAATTTCTAGGCCGTGAGGCTGGCAGCAGTGTGCAGCTTCGCAGTAATGGCAGTGGCCTGTGATAATCTGCAGCTTCCCACAGCACAGGCCACTGCAGCTCTTAGATCTCCACCCCATGCAGAGGCTGCTGACAGAAGGGCAGACGCTCAGTGCAGGCAGTTGGTGTTACAGAGTAAAACCTGCTGCAAGTAATTACAGTGGTACCTATAGACAGCAGCACAGCGGGCAGTAACGATCATCTCGTAGCAGATGAGAAGGATTCATGTCCTGTCAGATGTTTGTGTCACCCTTCTGGTGTGTTCCTGGCTTTGAATCACAGTCTGTCAGGGACCTGCAGCTGTGCAGTGCAGGGCAGCACGCTGAGTTCTCCACAGTCCTGTCTGTGAAGCACAGACTTCCCAGGAATAAGGACAAGCTTAACCCAGCAAAGCTGGTCCCTGCCCTGGGGCGTGCAGTCCACCTACCCACAAGCAGGATCATGTGTTTGCTGTGGTTTTCCTGGTCAGGAACAGCTGCCGAGGGAAATAGGCCTTGTTTTTGTAATAACTGGGCGCTAAAATTCACAGGTAAGTCAGACTCATGTGAGTCGTAACAAAGCTAAAAGTCAACCTGTATAGTGTGTGTGTGTGTGTGTGTATATGTATGTCTGTGTTCAGAGAGAGCGTGTACAGTCAGGATATGTACTGGGAGGCATACACCAAGATGATCCTTCTTTGGAGCAACCTTGCACATCTCTCAGGTTAGAGCAAATGTTTTTTCCCTAGTCCTGCTGGATGCTGCGATGAGCCAAGCAATCCTATGCAAGATAATACTTGCTGATGTTGCCATGTTCTAGCCAAGCAATTTGTCCTCCTCAAGGATATGACTAGTAGTGAAAGCTGAGTAATAAACTGCATGTTGCTTTCCAAAATGCAGTAACTCATTTAGGCATTACCTTCTGAAAGGTCAGAAACGTACAGAATATACAAAAGTGTAAAATCAGAGACCAGTTCTGTGAAAACTGAAGTACCTATAGTATGTCTTATTCAGAACGCCTTATTTTAGCAAAAATGTTTCAATTTTTTGCCCTGGATTTTGTTGTATTTTTTAGAAAAGATCCAGTTCTGTGTTCTACAGTGCATGCATGTCTTTATTTTGTGCACTCTCCTCTTCAGTAGGACTATCTGAGCTGCCAGAAGTTCAGCATCTCAGAATGTTTGCAGCTTTCAATCTAAAAAGAGTTCAGAAGAATAGATAAGTTCCTACATGCTGCTTGGTATTGAGAACTAGGTACCCTTGAARATGTGTGGTTCATGGCTGGTGATCTTGGTGAGGATATATGGAAGTTAACTGGGCTTTGTCACAGGGCTTCTGGTCAAATGTAAGAATTTTTTTTTAACGTGCTCAAGCATTTATGTTAGTGTAACACATGCAATATAGAAAGTTTCACTGAAAGAGAGATTCTGTAATGTGTACTAGATATCCCTGCATTTAACTCAAAGCATTTTCATTAGAAAAAATAGTACTTCAAGGATAAATGTATTGAGTAAGTGAATTTATACAACGCGTTACAGTTTATTTCCTATACTTTTGGCATGTTTTATAGAGAGTTTTATTTTTGGGGGGAGAGGGATGGAGTGAAGACAGAGAAATACAATTTTTAAAGAAAATTGCTGTCCTGACCTTACTTGTTCTATGTATGTATCTTTTGAAATATCTTTATCGGATAATGCTGCTGTGAATGACTGTACCCTTTTGTTGCCACAAGAGGGTGGTAGCTTCCTATAACTAGAATTATTTTTTTCAAAAAAAATCTTGCTGAAAGTTGTAAGTGGARCAGAACGGATGGTTTCCCAGCAGGCAGGTCACATACCTTTCTGGGGACCATGCCGACAGTGTTAGGCAAATACAAAATTAATGTAATGCTACATCGTAGAGATGGGATAGAGAGATATCATGGTGCTCTTCAGGGAGGGCTGGATCCTAGATGTGGAAAACGAGCTATTTGTACAGTATTTGCAGTATTCCGAGTGGCCACTTCTCTACAACCCGGCTCAGCTTGTGTATCTCCWTTCTTTGAAGATCATGTTTCAGGTCATAGAGGACCTCAGCAGTACAGTACTTGCACAATATTTTATATTTTTGTTAGTGTGCTGCAAAAGCAGACATAAATGGGGACAGTGTGGTCGGAAAACTCTTAATAAGAGAAATTGTTTTTAAAACTTACGGAAGTTTAGCCAGAGTTATATGTGGTAATATACTTGCATAGTCCTTTCTTTTGCTTTCCCGTACTCTGTGACTTTGTCACCTCTGTGTAGAATAATCTGAGCCAAGTGTTAGTGACGTGAGTTGAAACGGTCCCAGAACATCAAACTGGTGACAGGAATATGCACTAAACTAGTGACTCGGCTGCCGTGGCRTGCTGCTGGTCCTTAGGAAGTCCTCCTTTCCTCTAAGTTACCATCCCATGTGTTCTAGGTGATATCTTCTATCAAAGCTCTCTAGTAATGACTTTAGAGAGAAATACATATTTCAATGAAGACAAAGGCTTTCTTTTGTTTGCAAGATGTGCTACATTTCTGTGACAGAAAACATCTCAACTTTTTTTTTTTCAAACTTGTTTTCTTAGTTGGAAAACACGTATAACTTCATTACAGTATGTTGTTTTCAGCGGCAAAGATTTTTATGATACAATGTGGGGTGGAATCCTTTTTCTGTTGAAGTATTGTGGCAAAAACCCCAGTGACTGTTTTAAAAAGTCAGTATTTCATCCATAGTTTTCATTAAAAAGTAACACTGATACTTAGGGGAAAATCTGATTATTAATTTTTTATTTTTGGTGGATGTAAAACTTCCTTTGTCAAAGATCATGTATATTCTTTAACCTTTGGGGTGGTATTACTTGTAAGAAGTGCACTAAGGCCCTAGGAGCATWGGAAAGAACAAAGCAGTAAGTTTTTCAAAGCTCAAGACTTTATAAAGACTCGGTCTTTAAGGATTAAACAAAAAAAAAATGTACTGCATGAAATGAATTGACACTGATGTGTTGAGTGTTTAGGGACATTATTTCGTTTTAAGGGAAGTATCTATTGTTTCTTGTTAGTCTTGGTGCTTGTCATTAATTCTAAATAAAAATAGCAAAGATGAACAGTAAAGTAGGCTGTTGCTTACTGCTTCCAAACCAGTGAGTTGTGAATGATGCTCAGGTAGTGGTTCTCTTTCTTCAAAGAACTTAATCTTAAGAAAAAAAAATGTCAAATATATTTGCTTGCATTAGATGGTGGGTTTTCCACCATCTTTCCAAATGTTAGTGTTATATTTTTTATTCCTTTATTTGAAGCAAGACCTTGCAAAGTCCCAAGCAGCTGTTGAGAGGTGTTGGTGCCCTCATCTCCTATTGGGTGGGACTCCTCAGAGTTGGTCAGTGCCCAAAAATAAAGGCCTTTGGTGCAAATTATAAAAAGAAAATAATCCAGCTATAAGAAACTTCATTGATATTAAAGCTATTGTTGTCCTCAGGCTGTTTTTCTTTTTTCTTCTCCTGTGAAGGAAGTTGAGCTTGTTGAATGCCCTGCCCACTGTGAAGGACGTGACACTAATGATCATGTGGATGTGTTGGAAAGGACTTGCTTGACTCAGTTATCAAAGTACACTTTTGTTATGTTTGTGCGAACTCGGAGCGTGCCTGACAAATAGAGCACTTGTGTTGCTGCTGGCTAAAGTCTGAACTGCTGTTGAATGTTTCTGCTAGTGTTATTTCAAGGTCTTGTTTTTGAAAACTGTCTGCCAACATTAACCATTGAAATTCATGATAAGRAATTTGAACAGTAAGGGTGATAGCGACATACAGTAAAAATCTGGAGTCTTTCTTTTTCTTTGTATTTCACCCCCTCCCCGTTTTGCTTTTGCTTGAGTTTCCTGTCTGTCATTTTCTTTTATTTTCCTAGGTTTGGGTGGGTTCAGTCACAGAAATAACTGTGGATGACCTTTGTGCAGAAGACAAGGACTCCTCACCCTCTGAGCTGATGTATACCCTTACTGCGCCCAGCATTGGGCACTTGGCTCTGAAGTCTTCTCCAAACAACAGCATCCTTAATTTTACACAGGCTCATATAGTCGAAGGGCAGCTGGTGTTTGTGCACAGTGGTATGTGTTACCAGAATACTGGACCTGTTCACTGTATTTGCCTTTGTAATCCTTTGGGGATGTCCTTGTAATGACCCAAGTAGCAGGTCAAAAACATGGCAGAAGTGAGTCAAGCTGCTTAAACTGGGATTCCAAGGGAGACTTTGACGTGTAAAACTCTTGTCATGATGGAAGGGCAGAAGGAAGATGATAGTTGTCATTTAAGGAACTGAGTCTACGCTGCGTTTCAGAAAGGGTAAATGCACATCTATAGGCTCACGAAATGAATCTATATTAAAAGAATTAAAATGAATAGGTTTCATTTTTCAATTAGCAGGCATGTAGAATGCACAGTAAAACTGAAATGTAAAATTGCTCAAGCCATATGGCTGCTCCTGCAGCTGCTCTGTCTCTGCCACTCTCCTTCATGGCCAGTGCTTCAGAAAAGGCTCTTGTTTTTTCACTTTTTCTGCTTTCTCAGCCTGGGATTTTCTTTCCTCATTCGTCTTTGACAGTTGCTTGAATTATACTCATCTTCTTGCCCACAGCCTTGTCCTGGGGCCTGTCCTTATCAGGCTGCTGTCATTACTGTTCTTTCCCTGTCAAAGGTGACATCTCAGTTGTTCATACAGTGTTGTTGTGTCCCTCCTCTCGGGTCTTTTAGTGTATGCCAGCTTCTCTGGCAACTCCTAGGAAAGAGTAGCCCAATTTCCTGCCCCCACAATCTGGCTTCTGCTCCTCCTGCTTACTCTGACCCTTTCCAAGGCAAAAAGGTTTTAGGGCTGAGGCTGCTCTTCTGTCCATTGGCTACTCCTGGTGCCACTGATCACTGCAGCTGCTAAGGGTCTGCCCCTGTACATTGCAATGAGTCTCTGTCTTCTGTCTGTTTTATACTGCAAGAGTACTACTATTTTTTTGTTTTCAGTGTAGTATTAATCTCCCTAAAACCTTTTCCTTCATCTTTGCCCGGTGTTGTGATTGTACATTGTTGCTTACTGTGTGCCGAGTTGCAAATCTGCTTCTTTGTTCTCACGTTTTATATTTGCTTTCTTCGTAATCCCTGCATATTCTGTCAGCAGTATAAATGCTGACTGATTTCCTTTTTGGGACTCCTCTTCCAATGTGCACACTCCTTCCCTTGTTCACCTCCTTTTGCCACCCATATTTTGTCCTAACACCCTGCCAGTGGTTTCCTCGTGGCACAACTGAACCCCTGTCAGCTCTCCTCCTCAAGCCTCGGTGTCTTGCAGCAAAGTTMTTGCAACCCTTTCTGGCACCCTTTATTAATTTCACTTAGTTGTGCCTTTAAAATGAGTTATGCTGAAGTAATATATGCTGCACTCAAGTAGCACCTGAGGGTTTAGTTCTGTTCGTGACTGCATCAAGGACAAATTTCTGATTATTTCAGTCGGAAGGTTGCTCCTCATTAGCCAAGAAAGCAAGTAAAGCTAAGTAAGCACTTTCCCCTCAGCTTCAGGSAAAGCCCGAAATCCTCATTGCCCTTTTAAATGTGCAACCAATTGTGCGTTTTTATCAATAGAAAATARCAGAAAATAAAAGCTTTGAAAATACAAGAAAATTGGCTTGATGGTTTAGAGCTGCTTCTGTGCTTGCTGTAGGAATTTGCTAACTATAGTTTCCCAGGCAAGTTGTTAACTATAGTTAACTTCCCTAGGGCAGTATTTTAGCTATAATCTCAGAACCAACATGGGTCCCTCTGATATGTTCAGCGAGGAGTGCTGATCTTTATGTAAAAGTACATGGAAACCTCACACTTTAGGATGAAGGTTCATGTAGCAAATCAAGTGGAGGAGCAACAGTAATTGTTGGGGTCCATTAATTTTGAATTTTCTCATTCTCTTTTTCTACCTAAATTAACAACTTTAAGACTCTCTATTTAAACCACTGGGCACCCTAAAGAGTCAGGGAAATATATTTTTATAGGAATTCATTCAGTCTCCTGGAACTAATTTTACTATTGCTTATGCCTGAGCACATACAGAGAAGATTAAAGCAGAGAATAGACATTTATTATGAGTGCATGTTATTTCTGGCATATTTTGAGCTGTGACAGCATAGCCCTTTCAACAAAACTGAAGGAGCACAGGAGAAGGAAAGAGTTAAAGGAGTGATTCAACTCTCAGGTTAAATCTAAACCAAAATGAAAGCCTGTTCTAGTTGTTTTTCTCCCCAAATTACATCTCTGCCAAAATATGACTCTTTAAATGCTCAGGTCCCTCCTAAGATAAAAAAAAAAAAAAAAAAAAAAGAGAGAGAGAAAAAACTTGGTCAGTGTCTCCCCAAGTTTAAGCTGGTTTCAGCTTTACTAGGTTCAGTGAAAGAAGGGGGAACCTACTGATTTACACCACGGGATGTTTTCTCCTAGTTTAAGTGATAGTTGACAGTTCTTCCTTGGGATTGTGCTCCCTGCATTGTGATTTTATTTAATTCTTGATTAAGATACAGAAATACTGATCACAAAATGGCTTCAGGATGATTGATTCTCTTTTGCTGTGGCCCAAAGCAAAATGTGTGCGATGTGTTTTTGTGTATTTTAGATGAAAAATGGCAAAGTAAAAGAATAAATTTGTTTTGTTTTCTGCAGGAGCAATGTCTGGAGGCTTCAATTTTCAGGTTACAGATGGTTTGAACTTTTCACCCCGACAGATTTTTAGCATCACAGCTCAAACTCTGATACTTAGCCTGGAAGTGAACAAAGGACTTGGAGTCTTTCCAGGTTTGGCATTAACAGATCATTTTGATTTCATTATTTGAAATAATTTCATAAGCTGCCATATATAGCTGTTTGTTAGATAGCCATCTAACAATATCTAACCATTTATTAGATAGCTGTCATCTGTCTGTCTGACTTTTAAAAGACCAGTTATGTAGTCTCATACTACACTCTTTTAGTACACAGAGTCTACACTCTCTGGTGTGTAGACTTTAATTTCTTGATTCGCATATGCACTGTCTGTGATGAAAATAGATCGTGGAATTTATAAGTGCAGTGTAATGGAAACACTGTCTGCCTAAGCACTGAAAAAATGTGATTCAAATTAATTTAAAAGCTCAGTAGTGTATTCATAGAAGTAAAGATGCAAAGTGCTCATTAGAATATTCCACCTCTCATCTGGCTGTGATTTTACCCAGGAGACTTCAGGGAGTCTGACGAGCAAACTCAAGCTAACCACAATGCAAGTTTGCTTTTTTATTTGAGCAGAGTTATGGGGAGTAGCTGGGATGCACTGATGAATCAGAAAGCCTCAGCAACCTTGATGCCTATTTATGCATTTGGAAATAGCTGGGTCAGCAGCTTTGTGTTTGTTTTAATGMAATCCTACTCCTTTAGGAATTGATGAGTTGAGAGTCTCACCAGAGCCACCTACTGCTCTGCACTGTCAAGAGTAATTCTTCATTGGGTTAGTAATCTAACATTCAGTACAGAATTAGAAGAGAAAKTTAGTGTTTAGATTAGTCCAGTATCAGGAACATCTTCTATCACACTTCTTATGTAGATGTTCTACCTTGTTTTTTTCTTTGAATATGGTTCATGCAACTACAGATAAGTTCAAAACTAAGAAAGCTACTAATCCATGCCTTCATCCTAAGCAGAAAAGGAGYACTTCAGTTTCTTAAACTTCATGAATATAAGCTATATTAAATAAGGGCTTGCATTGAAAGTCACTTCAACACAGGCAACAAAAAATGGGATTGTAGCAGCATGATCTTCTAATTCAGTCAATATAAATGGGATTCAAATAAATCCACTTACAAGGCTTGTTAGTCTGTCTGTGATTTAGGTATGTAAGGGATGACAAGCTTTGTTGTCTGGTAGCCCTGAACTCCATTGCAGTGTCTGCAGTGCGGTGCGGTGCTGGCTCTGGAGGGAGCGATCCGGTCTGTGGGGACGGCGCAGGCCTTTGTGGCACTGAGGCGCGTCTCCCCCCGGCCCCGGGCCTCTGCTGCCATTGCCATGTCGGAATGCGGAGCGGTGTCATCAGCACGAAACCTGGAGTGGTGCCAGCATCACCGGGGCACAAATGCTCCTCAGGGATCCTCCGTGTTGGCCTGCTTTGCGTGAGTGTGAGGTTACCGAGGAGCCGCCGCGTGGCGCAGGGGACACGGRGGCTCGGGAGCTGCTGCTCCCACACGGGGGCTYGGGAGCTGCTGCTCCCTGCTCTGCATTCCGGAGCACATCTGCTGTGTGCCCATCGCGGAGCCGCCCTCCCGCACCCCCCGGCCCGCACAACAGCGGGGCAGGGAAAGGAGGAAGGGGGCACGTCTTGGATTAGTTACAGTGCAGGAGGCTTCCAGGCCTGAGGGGCTCTGCTCTTCTGAGGAATGCACACAGAGAGGCATGGGAAGGTGAAAGGGGGAACATAGAGCAAGAGGATCTCATTTTCTTCCAGCTCTGTTTCAAAGTAGATGTGGTTTGAAGCAAGATGGAACTACATGTAAAAAGGCCGAATCATGAGGTTACCAAATGCTTGCGAAACGTTCCCATTCATGGCCTTGCTTGCTGTGTGTTTTTTCTGCTGAATATTATAGCAGGAACATGTTTTGTGTTACTCATCTTAAAGGTTATGCTTTAATGGAGATGGGTTGATAATGCAGACTTCAAAGATTACGGCTAGTGTCTGAAATTATATGTAGATACCTATAAAGCTTGCTGCTAAAAACAGCAACAAAAAAAAAAAATACAAGAATGGAGGCAGAAGTGGGAGTGACGAGGGGTGCCTAGAGTTGTTCCTGTTTGTAGCTTACAGGAGTCTGTTGCTTTTCCAAATGCTGCRCAATAAGCATCAGATTTAGTTGCTGTGTGTAAACCAGGAGCAAAGATTACATCAAAAAGAGGCCAAGTGAAACTCCTGATATTTTACAGCTCTGTAATTCCTGGGAGTTGCTTGCACAACAGCTAGCAGTAAGAAGAATGTCTTTGTTTTTGTCAAAGCAATGCCAAAAACTGTCTTGGTTTGATTAAAATCAAGTGTTARGTAGTAAAAGGATTTTGTTACCCCTCAGTCTCTTACTAATATATGCTTTCTATTCAGGCCCTTATTGGTATGCATGACGTGCTTCCTACTTGTAGTTCAGTGTTTATTTAATGATAATCATCTCTTCATATCGATAAAACATAGTTCAGATTGCTGGTGTTATTTGATTTTGGTTTATGTGTGTTCACTAGAAAACTGCTGGATTAAGGCTTCTCTTGGGCAGACGTTGCTGAATCACCCTGCCTTCCATGAGCAAATGGGGCTGCCAAAGACATTAGCAAAGGCTTCTTGAGCTGGAATATGAATTTGGTTCTAGACATATGAAGGTAGTTAGGAAAAGACGACTGATTATGAAATATTATAAAATATTTTTTTTTAAATAAAATTCTAAGTACAATATTTAGATGAGTTGTGCCTGTTCTTGGTGAAAAGTTACTGTTGCAAACCTGAGTTACTTTTAATTTATATTTTTAGGATCCAGGAAGCCTATTTCACGACATGAGCTGAAAGCTGTAACCAATGATATGACCAATGCAGGAAACAGAACTATAACTTTTATGATTGTAACTTCCCCCAAACTTGGAAGGCTCATCAGAGTGAATTCTGATAATACCACTCAGGAAATCCTCAGTTTTACACAGTCTATGGTAAGCATTTTCTTTATAGTAGTTCTGGGGTGAGTTATTACTTCAAAGGCTGTTGAGTTGCTTGTTATTTGCCTTGTGCATTTGAATCTGTTTGGTAACCAGGCATATGTGACCCATCAGTGCAATCGCCCAGATTTGCCGTGTCATTAAATATGTGGCATCTAGTAATGAATGCGAGAGGAGCCTTTGTTCTCCTCTCCTTGGATGCTCACAGAGCCTTGGCAATTTCCATGGCTCTGCTTGCAACAGTATTTTTCAGGAAGAGTTGTTCCCTTGCCATTAACCAGCAGTCAGAGGTTAGAAGCCTTTAGTTTCTGGCAGAGGGAATAGCCTTTTGCTGTGTGAAAGCTCCAAGCATCGGATTCATTCAGGCTATTTGCAGTCCTCGTTGTCCCCAAGCGGACTCTTATTGCCTTTATGGGCTGTGATATTAAGTGTTTAAAGAATCTCAGCTGTGATACAGAGTCCCATACTTGAAAGGCTAAGAAGTGACAGCTCATACAGCTTGAAGGAAGATGTCTTTTGAGAAACTGCGACTGAAAAAATGAGTTACCTCTGTTTGCAGAGTCTGAATATCACTGTCCTCTCAGTAAACTTTTTAAAAGGGATAAATAGAAGGAACTCCAACTTCTGACTTTATTGGAGGAGAAGTTAAGAGATAATTTGGTACTAATCTACATTTAGAGATTAAGAAAGGCACTCTTTGATCTACTAATGGAAAAGTTAGAAAATCTGTTGGTGAGAAATTGAAATTTGACTGATTAAAATCTAGAAACAAGGTTCACATTTTTAGTAATTACAGTTAACATTTGACTTTGAAACATCCTCACCRGGGACTATGGTGAAATCTCTACCTAAGATGTGCAGACCAAGGTGAAGACAGGGTGTTTCTCCTAGTACTGTATTCTAATCCCATTATGTTTTTGACTGTGTTGCAGTAATTACTGAGCTGAGTTTTATGTTTCACATTATGAGAGAGATGCACTGTATTACACCACCGTTCTGTTCCTAAAATCTATGCTTTCATGAGTGTTAGGTGAAGCATGTGTGAGATTTTATCACGTCAGGCTCAATTTCATAGTCAATAAGACGGGAAGTTTTTGAGAAAATTGACCCCGAAAGCCCTGTTCCGTACATGCTATCAGCATGATATCAGCGGAGGCTCCTGCACCGGTTTCAGGAGGAGCTCTATCTATCGTTACAGCCCGTCCTCTGCAGTGCTCAAGTGCTCCACTGGCTGGCTTTTGTTTTTCACACCATGCAAGCATGTGTCATGGAAATAGGAAGATTTCCTGCAGGRTTTGGGAGCTGCCCAGTGTGTGTTACCAGTGCTCGGCCCAGCAGCGGCGCCGTCTTGGGTGCTGATCTCTTGGGCAATTATAAACTAACCAGACGAGCCAGGCCAGTATTTGTCTGGGAAGCTGCCGAGGACTTAATAGGTAACTGTCTTCTCTCCAGGTCAGTGAATGAATTATCAAGTGGAGGCTGAATTTAGTTACTGAGATTAAAGAAKTATCCGAATGTTGTGATTATTGGGAGTTTTACTGTACTTTCAATGAATTATGTTATTCATCCTAAAGCTCTGGTGTAATTCCAGCTGATGAGAATCCTCGTATGAAAACACCATCCTTTGCTTTCAGATCTGAATAAGAGAATTGCATCTAGTACATATATTCTCTGAAAGACTGCTGCTGAATTCTCTTTTGAAGCTGAGATYGTCTCTGTGAGCCGGACAGGATTTTCTTGTAAGGGTTTGGAGGGACAGTCAAAGTAGGAACAGGGCAGACTAGCTTCCTTCTCCCTTCCTCCCTTCAAGATAAAGAATTTTTCAATTAAACTGTCCTATTGGCTCTTTGGTTATAAAGAAGGAGGTATTTTCATGGACATTGCATGTCCTTCAGGTTTCAGTCATCTCTCACCAAGTATCTTTTGCTGTCTACCATGAAGCACATGATCCATCAAAGTCTTGTTTCAAGCCTTCATTCTTTCATACATTTTTCCAGAACAGTAAGTCCAGCCCAGGTAGTATCCTTATAAAGGAAAATCCCCTAGCTGTATGATAGTCTTCTCTAATCATAGKCTAGCTGAGCTCCCATTTGCAGTCACCATTGCTAATTCAATACAAGTTTTTCAGTGTTCCACACTTCTGTTCCTAGCATAAGGCATTCGTCTCGGTAATGTTTTCCCCAACTTGCTTGTTGACCAGCACAGTTTTAATCTTCAGAGAAAGAGAAATRCAAAATAATCTCTTTAGCTAAGTTATATATACAGTCGTTATGCATGGACTAAGGTACAAAGTCCTCTACTGAACAGTATTCTCAAGATTTTTCTTTCCTTACATCTCTGTATGAAAATCACCTTCCTCTTGTACTTGTGGCTTTCTTTACCCTCAACAGGTAGATGAAGGTGTGATCATGTATGAGCACTTACAAACTGATGCAACTGACTGGAGTGCAGAAGATGACTTTACGTTTACTGTCTCCTCTCCACCATCAGCCCTGGACCTCCAGGTGTTCCATATTGCCATCTCGTATGGAATTACCAGGCATGATCAGAACAGTTGTCTTCTGGCAAACACAGGTGAAGATGCTGGGCTTTTTGAGCCTCCTAACTGTTTTGGATGTCTCTGGGATTCAGTGAACAAATATTAAAAAAAATAAAAAGGGTAACGTTTTTCAGTACCAAATGACCAGAATACATTTAGCACAGTGTATAGTCTGAGTCGTAGCTTGAAAGACTGCACCACTGCATCTTTAGAAATATTAACTACATACTTCTGATCCTTGCTGTTGTTGTAGCAGGTATCCTCCATTTTGCCATGATAGCAGGGATAATGAAAGTACCATCTGGAGCTGGGAGATACTGATATTTCTCTAATCCTGTTCTGTACATCAACAGCAAATCTAGCCTCTTGTATTTAGATTTGTGTTTAAAAATAGTGGTAATATGTTTCTTGCCATGATACATGGAAATCAAAGATACTGTGAAAGAGAAATACGTGATTTCACAATGAGCATCATCTGTGTTTGAAATGCATATCTAAYTTCTGAAGTATTGCAACTATAAAATATTCATATTTTAAAATTGTGGTTTCCTTTCTGATAGGTGCCATTGTCCAGGAAGGAGGTAGAGTTTTAATCAACAAAACAAATTTAGATGCTTCAAATCTGCTAATTAAGCTACCTGAAGTACAACGGTCCATGTATGAAATATGGTATCAGGTTGTATCTTTACCCCAACATGGCACAATTGTTGTTGGAGAAAGAAATATCACCAAAGAGAAACCTAACTTCTCCCAGTACATACTGAACAAATTTGGAGTTGTGTATGTACATGATAATTCTGAATCACTCGCTGACCACTTCATTTTTGCTGTGTGGTTAAACCTAAAGGGCAAATCTGTTACAAAGCCTCATGGGGAAGTTTTAGAAGAGATGTTTAATATCGCTGTTGTTCCAGTGAATGATCAAGCTCCAGAGCTGAGGACTAAAATGCTTCACTTGAAAGTGCTGCAAGGAGATGTTTCAGTACTGGGGCCAGAGAATCTGAAAGTCGAAGACCTAGATAACAGCCCAGCTGAGCTCAAATACACCATTATTAGCAATCCTAATAATGGCTATTTAGCAATGAAGAGCAATCTCAGTGTCTCCATACAGGATTTCACACAAGCTGATGTTGACAGCGGCAGCGTTTGGTTTGTCCAGGATGGCAGTTCTTCCTCTGGTGTGTTTTATTTCAGTGTAACTGATGGTAAACATCGCCCTTTATACAAACTTTTCACTCTTGAGGTCATACCAATTGCTCTTGTCCTGGTAAATCATACCAATGTTGCACTGCCTCAGGGCCAGACATCTGTCATTATTACTAATGTTCATCTAGCAGCTGTCACAAATGGAAAAAGCACTAATATCATGTATGAAATAACTCAGCCACTCAAATTTGGGCAYCTGATGATTGAAAATGAGCCGGTTACTAAATTTGAGCAGGTGGATTTGTACTCAGGAAGGTTGTCTTACCACTTGACAAATCTCTCTGCATTCGAAGAATTCCTGGAGTTTATGCTGTTCACTGAAGAAAGCAGTCTAGCAGGGCAAGTGCTGAACATCACAGTGAAGCCTTTAGTACAGGTTGCTCCTGACGTGCAGATCTCAAATCAAGCAGTTTACACATTCAGAAGCAGTGACCTGAATGCTTTTGAGCTGGCTAATTTGACAAGCAGTAATCCTAGATTCGAAGTGATAGTGCCCCCGTTTCATGGGAGAATTGTRAAGAAGAGGCTCATGAATGATGCAGCATTGGAAGATGTTTTGGCATTCACCCAGGCTGACATCGATAGAGGTGTTGTGTTCCTCCACGTAGATACAAATATGACGGGCGTTGATCTTTTAAATGACTCCTTCACATTTATACTCAGGGCAGATGCTGTGCAGCCTGCTGTGGGCCGTTTCCAGTACTCCATAGTGCCACATGATCCTCTGCTTGTGCAGCGTTTTGCAACCCAAGTGCCTYTCTCAGCCAGCACAATCTCTCTGAACGTTCTCGCTGCCTCAAGGGATGAGGCACCAGGTTCCTCCCACAGTGCTGAGCCTTCAGTAGCAGCAGGGAAGACAACACCAACCACGTGGCAACGTCGTGACCGCTGGGGACAGCTACACAAGGAAAGTCCATTGCCTAATCTCGCAGTGGCAAAAGATGGATTCACAGAGGCTGAGAGCACAATCCAAGCGAGTGGTCGGAGTCCCAGAAAGCAACCTAGTGAAAGCAGCAACCCTTGGTACATCATTATCCCCCTGGTCCTGGTGTCTGTGTTGCTCATTATTGCCGTTATTTCTGTGTGTGTTCTGTTACTGTGTCAGAGAAAAGAGAAGGCAAAGCCACTTGTCAAAAATCAGATGGATGCAGTGCTCAGTAGCCCAGGCTGTGGTCCAGAACGGAGCTTGACRGTACCCACTGTCACAGTGACCCCTCTTCTCAAGGGGGCTGAGGGAGCTACAGCCACAGCATTCACACCAAGAAGACACCAAGAGCAGATGCTCCCTGCAGGTGCTACCCTGCTTCCTCCACCTGTAAAACAGTCCTTGCAAAACAGCTGGTTAAACCTCGATCCTGAAATGATCCAGTACTGTCGAAGAACAAACCCCACTTTGAAACGCAATCAGTACTGGGTATAGCTGGCTTGGGTCATATAAATAGGCCTAGAAGGGAAAGGAGAGTATACATTACTGACATGTTATTTACTCTTTATTGTGCTTATTTATTATTGGTTGAATGATTCATACTTAGAATAAATGAAAGTGAAATCAAAAAAAAAACCCAAAACATTGATTACAATGGTCTTAAAATCAGGTTTTCAATTGTTACTTAAGCAAAGTTGCCATKAAATTCAGTGCAGAATTTTGTTTTATGGATTTTTAAGCGTACCTTGTGCATACACCACTTTTTTTTTTCCTTGTGACAGGAATAAAGTAGAATTTCCCATCATGGATTATATATTTTTAATACAATTACTTTTTTTTGAATAATCAAATTTGCTGTAATGTGCTGCTTCAGGACAGAATAGAAGACCTATTGCCACCCTTTTTAGAAGTAGTTGCTAGATGATTAGTCTTAAAAATGTCATTTTGACCTAAAGGCTGTTGAAAGGCCAGAGCTAAAGAAACAAAGGTGTGATCATGTTGACAGGTATTCACCTGGGTCACTGAGCTGGAAATCTATGCAACAGTACTGTAGTAATGACAAAGTGGTAAAACTGTTACTGTGAACTGTTTGTTTTTTGAGGTTTTTTTTTTTTTACCTTTATTATTGTACACTAACCTTTGATATGTGTGGACTGTTAAAATGCACCCCTGACCTCTAATGCTCGTAGCAAGAAGTGTGTGTGTGTGTCAGTCAGCCCGCCTGCTGCGTTGCCTTTAGGCTTAGGTGGTGTTTGGAAGCACGCATCGAATTTCCTGCTGCTGGCTAAGGGCTGGGCTGTGCCTCCAGGAAAGCAAATGCAGCTCTCTGGAGCCTGGGAGTTCAAGTAGATGCCACTGGGCTGAGACCTGAGTCTGCAAGTGTTGAGGAACTGCTGGCAGAAGCAAAATCCTGTGCGAGGTAAAGGCTCTGTTCTGGAGGTGCTCGGCTTGCCCTTCAGCATCACATGGACCTTTATGCAATATGRAGAGTCCTGGTACTCTCTGCTTGTAGCTCTGTTGCTAAAATGTGCAATAATTTCCCTGTAGGGAGGGTGATTTTGTTTATATGAAGATCCAAGCTCAATAGCGATGGGCAGTCTCCTGYTAAGGGCCAGGTTTTTCCTCCGTGGAAACAACAGCAAAATTCTTGTTGACTTCAGAGGGAATTAATTGACTTCAGGGGAATGGTGCTGTGATCATAACCAGTCTCTTACTAAACAGTGAATTCTGATCTGTTTTTCCAGTTAGCTTTTCCGTATTACCATTGCACTCGRGGTCAGGATACCACAGTACTGTTTTGAGTGGACACTGGAATAATGTTCTTGTTTGAGCCCAGGGGCTGCTATTTTCACTTGTAGAAAGGAYGTAGGTGCCTGAGCGTCCTTGGTGCTATTCATTTCACCATGCTTTTGTTGTTGTTATTATTGGTGACTTTTAGCTGTGATTTTGCTATTTACTCAATCATTTCACTTATGGGGAATTTTCACCAATGAGGATGGCCAGATTAAGTCTCTGTTTATTGCTTTGTCTTGGGAACTAAATTGAAGAGCATGAGGACAGGGTTACTGATCGTTCTCACTTCTTCCACCATCAGCCTTACTTGTGGTGCACTTTGCCCGTTTCTAGGGAAGAGTTCAGTGTCAGCATAAAATAATCAAGCCACATCTTCAGCTGATGGAGTTAATGGAGTACTGGTGACTAAAGATGTGAACACTTTCCATCCTCACACTGAAGTGTATTTGGACACTGTGATGCACAGTTTTTCTTTACCTATCATTACCCTTTTTCCCCGATGCCAGTGTGAGCAGGCTGGAACTCACCCAGCACCATCAAAGGTAAAGGCTGGGGTGTTCCAGTGCCCCAGGTGAGCAGATCTCGCTCTGCTTTTCCAAAGAAAACCTTTGGAACTCTGGTTTTAGAAACTCAACTGGAGAGGTGGTGCTGCCAGGCAGAGCAGGGTGAGTCCTGCATCCTTGTGCAGGTAGATTTACATTTCCTGCACCTTCCTGGGAGATTTTCTTCTAGTGTCAAGCAAGCAGCTTCCTCCAAAGGCCAGCTGTCCTCAGAGGATTCTCTGTGTTCTGCCTCTGTTGCCTTCTCGCTGGAGCAGGAATCTTATCCCTTCACACCTCCTGCAAGGCTCAAGGCAAGGAGGAGTAAAGAATTATAATCCAGCACTTTCCTGACATAAGGAGAGGCTTGTCTTGTGTTTCCCAGCTCCTGTGATCTTCCTGTCAACAGCAAAAGAGATGCTGTGCTTTGAAACCTCCATGAGACCAAGATGTGTGCTGCCAATTTAGTGCCAAAATGCTGTAATACTGAAACCTGCTGGTGTAAGAGAATCCCCACTGAGGATGCCCTGACATGTTGTCAGAAAATGTGGAAGCAAAATAGGTGCCTAATGAGACTCTGCTAAACAAGCATCGAGCGAGACAGGTCAAGTTTAGCTGTTCAGTGTGCCCTGGAGATGGAGCGTAGCACTGCTCTGGTACTGAGGGTCTGAAAGTGGAATTGGGAGGTAATCTTAGATGGGTCAGAAACACCAGCAGTACGACTACAGCCTCCAAACTGAATGGAGCTGTTTGTGCCCTATRAACAAGAAATCATACATGAAAAAAAGAAAACAGTAATCTACAGGATTAATGCTGCATTTTTTCAGAATCAAATATAATGGGTTGAACTCTTTTTCTGTTTTCAAAATGCTTTTGGCTGAGAGTTTTTTCGTTTCAGGTAAATCAGACATAGAACTGTATTTTGAGTGCTGTTCTCATTTTTTAAAGTGTGGGGTTTTGTTTGTTTGCCTTTTTAATAAAAACAATCTCTTATAGCCTAATTCACTTGTGAAGTTTTCCAGTGTTGGGCCTTGTCCCTCAGTTGGTGCTCCTGGCATATAATTTTGGGTACCAAAATACCTGATGTCCAGTGGGAACATTTTGGTGAGAATCACGTATGAAAAAGTATGTTTTATCAGTGATAAAACACTGAGTGTCATGTGAAATGTGGAGGTAAAAATGCAATTGATAAGATGGATTTTAATATACAGCCTTGAATTCCCATTAAAAAATCTAATCATCTTAATCTAAATCTCCCTATTGGCAGTACAGAGAGGTAGTCTCTCTAGTAGAGGATGGTTCTGTTTTTTCTTACACAGGTATTTGTACATATGCACTGAGCAGTTCGTCGGAAGTGCCCATCTCCTTTTGGTGGCCACACAGGAGCTGAGGTGACTCCTTCAGATTATCCAACTTTTACATTGCTGGTAGTAGGTTTTGGGTTTCACAAATAGCAGCCACTGTGGAAAGTCTCCAAGAAGGCAAATATGTTGTACTTATGCTCACTGTGAGTCCAGGAACAAACATAATTTATGGTCAGAATCTGGTTTGAATTTTGGTTGTTTCGCTTAACTTGCATGTGTGTTTTATTTCAGAAAGATGGGCTTTCTGAAGGATTCCTTTTCTTACCAAATGGAGTTCAAAACTGTAGTATGAGTGCCTTAAAAATGTGCCTAAAAACAATAAAATGTTTTGTTTRTAAACAGCACACCAGTGTTTTTGTTTTCTTTAAAGACTATCTGTAAATCACTGCAATATAGAAACAGCAGATTCCATTGCCAGTAAAATTTTTCTGTCCATTTTTCTGATATTTATTTTTTAAATTACAGATGTGCAGACATCACTGCTGTGTGACACCTAGCATTGTGCCTCTAACATAACGAGTCAGAAGAGGAGAGAGATCCCAGCATGTGTCCTCCTGACTGCCCAATACTACTTTGAGTGTAACTTTAGGATAAATTGTCCACATTTGAACATGGCCACACAGCTTTGCTTTGGGTTTGCTGCAGTAAGTTTTTCTTTTTCTATCACTGCATTTGCCTCGGCTCTGCCTCAGCATCTTTACTGTCMAGCCCGCTGTGTCACAGTCTGTGTTGACAGCAGCTACGTGCAGCGTGTGGTTGCATCYCCCCCTCTTGCCCCAACTCAACGAATGTTCGCTTGTTCCTTCTACAGCTCAGAAAAGATCTTTGGAAGCAGAAAGAAAATGGGACAGAAGTGGTCATAAACCTTCTATGTTTTCCCTTATATTAAAATACTTTTAAGACCCACCTGCAACTAGCACTGCAGTGGGCTGCTAAGACCTGCAGGGCTAAATTAAGTACTGGGTCTCCCTCTGCGTCCATCCTGCTTGCACTATTATTTTTCAAGTCAGCCCTTGTGGTGTTAGGCTGAAGTACGTTTATACTCCGTGATTTTTTTAAAACAGGCTGAAAATAATTGTCCTGGCAAATTCAATGGAAACTTTAATTTATCTTTACTTGTTTCAGGCTAAATAATTCCTGCCAGAGCTTGCATATCCCAAATGCAGCTCCAGAACAAAGTGTTCTTTCATTGCAAATAGTGAAATCCATAGTCCATGGTGAGTTGTCAGGGTGAACTGATTTCCTTACCTGTTAATTTCCTTCCCCCCCCCTCTTTTTTTTTTCAGTCATCCTCTTGGTTATTTCTGTCTTCCTATGTACTAGTAATCTGGAGATCAATTTGTTCACAAACCGAGGTTTTTGCTGCACCACATTCTCCTGGCCTCACGGCGAGGGACACTAAGTATCAAACTCACTGGGTTAAAACAAAGATTGAGCAGGTTAGATATCAATGCAGCACTTTACTGAGCATCAGAACATCCTGAAAGAATGCTGGCTCAGATGAAGTATGTGCTATTTATAGTATATGACTGACCAAACTGATTAACTCCAGCTAATTCCAAGTAAAACTTTATTCTGTATAGCAGCTTTTGTGCATGGTACATGAAAACACAGTGCTGAGTRAAATACCACACTTCCAGGGATAATTAAAGATAATTAGAGGATGTGTGAGTATACATTATCAACTAAAGTCTAAATAAGATGGAATCAGGAAAGAGAAATAGAGGAAGATGGTTTCAGGAATGAGGAGATGCTGGGGAAGGAGTCAGGGAGGCAAGGAAGGGCAGGAGACAGGGCAGAGACAACTTCTGTGGGATAGATGGACATTTCCTTTTTCTATCAGGGAGAAGCATGTGGGAAAAGATCATTGCCTTGCTTAAAAGGCCAAGATGAAGTGCTGGACACAAGCCCTGATACTGTACACTGCTTGGTGAGTTCTCCTGCGCTGAGGAAAGATCYGTGTGTTTGGATGACAAGAAGTTTTCTTGCCATTAGGGCTGTGCTTGGCGAAGGTGGCAAGGTTTAGAAGCTCAGTTTGCTTTGCTTCTGCATCCCCCTGCAGCTGGCAGGAGAGTTAGCAGAAGTAAATCTGCTATGGCACGAACATAATGAATATTGACTTACAAAGGCACCTGACTGTCAAAAAAAAAAAAAAAAAAAAAAAAAAAAAAGGCATTTGTGAGGGTTCATCAGGTTGGATCACTGAAATTCTTCCTTATAAAGCTGTCACCCAGTCTTGCCAAGCTTGCCAAGCTGAGTTGCTCATGGTTTAGCTCAGAGGTTAAAGCCTGTTGGCATGAATATTGCCATAAAATAGAGCTCGATGTTCCTAGTGCCTTGCTCAAAGTGCAGGAAGGAGCAGAGTGCCAGAGGTTTTGACTTACTGTAATCACAATTAATGATTAATGATAAAATACGGTTAGCTGCAAACACCGAAAGGTGCATAAAGGTAAGGCACTGGAGGACAAYGTGACTTCAGGCACTAAGCTACTTTTAATGCAGATAAAGATCGGTTTGAGCTTATTCCTTGAGAGAAGTGAAAGTAGCTTGAGGACTGTCCTCATTTACCCATGGCTGTGCAAACACTGGTGAAGGGCAACCCTGGCAGCAAGATTAGAGCAGGTGTAGAGATAATCAGAAGTGGTATGAACCTGCTATTAGARTAGCTGCTTACTTTGTAGCATGTCTTGGTCAAAGTGCATTATCTGACGGGTTCTGTGCACGGGTAGGAGCAACTCAACACAAACATCAGTGAGATGAGTTGACTGTTGACTCTCCCTATCTCATCTTGTTCCTGGCTGCAGGATCTGGATACAATTAGAGCCTCCTGTTCCTGGGACTCTGAGATATCTGCTTGGTGGCCCTTGTGATCCGAGTGTTGGATCTGGCCTTGGAAAACCAGCGGCCTCCTGCGCATGTTCCTGGCACCAGCACTGTGATAACAGCAGGGTGCATCCAAGCTGCAGCCTGCTCTGATATGACCCCAGAAATTACCACTAAGAACATGCCGACCCGGTGCTATTTCTCCGGTTTCCCACTCAGTTCCACAGCGCAGGAAACGGGTCTGCATGTTCCCATCTGCTGCCCTGCACAGCTGCCACGTGCTGTTCCTGTCTCACAGCCGTCACCTAACAGCCGCTCCGCGTCACATCAGGCCCTTCCAGCAGCTAAGGGCAGAGCCTTCTCTCTGCTCGGTGCCCCTGCCCTGCTCCGGACACCAGGAAGAGGCRCTTCTCTGTGCTGAGGGGATCCCGTCTCGGTCCCCGGCAGCGCTCGCGGCACAGGCCCTCGCGTGGCGCCTCTGCGGCTGTCGCTGGGCCCCACTTCCAGGCTGCTGGGGAAGCCTCAGCTGACTGCCGTGACCCAGGCGCAGCAGTTTGATAAGAAACCCAGACGTGTCCACTTCCTGATTTACAACATCTAACTTCTACTTTTTTGTTGTTTTTAACTTTTTGTTTTCTTTTTTATTTTAGAGAAGGCCTATCACAAACCCAGGATGAGACTGTATGACTAAAGCAGAGTCTCTGCTGTGAGAAACTGCAACACTTCAGTTTTAAACAGTTCATAAGCTCCTAAGCGTTAGAGCTACAACCTACATAATGTGGACATAGGGACATGCCCCAGGCAGCTTTGCCCCGTCACCTCCCTGGCCTTTTGCGTCACTGTTGGTGGTGACTGCTGTCAGTGTCTTCAAACCACCCTGAACAGTTACATTTATTTCCACTAGGAAACTGCAATTTGGATTGCTGGTCGCTCTTCACAAAGTGGCCCAAATGTTTCTTTTGCTTGCAGGAAACTTCAATGAGAAGCAGTTTCAACACGTAGATTTTTTTGGAACAGGAATTTTCTAATGCTTCAGATGATTGGAAGACTACGTAACTGTCTCTGCAGAGCTCTTACAACTGGCAAAGATATTTCAAGGAATAGCACGTCTGCCTCTTGGCACCTTCTCTAACTTCTAGTGCTTTAAGAAAAAACCACACAACTCTATTACATGTAGTTAACTGTTTGCCATTAAAACAGTTCAAAGTGGCAAAATGTTTTGCCCTACCTTCTGCTCACCTTTTTTTTTCTGATAATATAAGAATTAGATCTGTTTTTTTAGCTGTTGATATGATAGATCAAAGATATAAAAAATAATGGAGCCAGCTGTTTGTGTGGCCTGTGCAGAAGCTCCTGTGGTGATGAGAGTCTTTCTCTAGAAAGCAGAAAGCAGCTGTAGCTGGAAATGTGCTTCGGGTGCTCCATGGAAGTCATCCCACTGGCCACTCTGACAACGCAAACTTTAGTAATACCAAAGGTGGATCCAGTGACTATCCCCTGCAAGTATTTTATTTTCATGTTTATAGTTTCCATGGAGGAATGCAAGTTGTTTTCCTTTTAAGGGATGTTTATATTTACGAAGTACTTCACTGAGCCCAGCTTTTTGTCCCCTGCAAGTCACGGGAGACTTGAGTGACTAACAGCCCCCGGAGTGGCATGTGACTAGGAATGAAGTGGCCACAGCCTGTGAAGGTTCCCCAGACGCAGGAAATGATGGGGTTTCTCATACTTTYGGGACAGGCACGCAGGACTCCTGCATCCTTTGAAAATACTGCATGTATCTGAATTACACAGCACGTCTGTAGCCTGCGTGGTTGCAGCAGACTTCTCTGCTCCAAGGTTTTCTTTCCARCCTAGCTAGGTGAGGGACCCCCAGCAATGGCAATGCAGGGTAGCAATCATCTGAAGTTTTCCTCCTCTTGCTGAATTGCTGGTGTCAGCTGGGGTAGTGGCAACCGCATTTAGTCATTGAGGCATTCATATAATATTGAAGATATCCAGGTTCAAAACTTTTTCCTCCCCCGGAGACAGGTACCCCCAGCCCCTGGAAAGAGCACAAAACTGGGAATCATAGGTGTTGTTGGCAAATAAATCATACTAGGAGAAAAACACTAAACCA